GATACAAAGTAAAGTTTTAGGGCATGAAAATTAGAAATTGACATGTGATTCTCACAAAAATGGTAGGTGGCAACAAATTTCTCTAAAATGAAGAAGAGAAAGTGGGCAAAACGGCCACTAGTTTCTGAGAACAATCTCCTAGAAAATCAAGCACATTTTCCCCTCTTTCTAATATGTTGATCAATTGTTTAAAAGTCACAAAAAAATTACACTATTCGAGCCTATAAATTTTCTAGTTTTTGGTTAATGGATTGAGGGCCCCAATGGCAAGCCTAAGCCTCTAGCATTTTCCCCTGAAATTGGTTCTTCTAGCCCCATAAGCTTTAGAAGCACTGGTTTTTTTCAAAACTCCAAACCTCAAAAACATAGAGCTATGGTTTAGGAGACTAGGGAGAGAGAGACTGAAGGAAAATACGGAAAGAGAGAGAAGGGGTTTGGGGAAAGTGGAGAGAGACAAAGAGAGAAGTTTGGGGAATATGAAGAGAGAGAAAAATAGAGTTTAAAGAGCATGTCTTTTTCATATTTGTTTGGGCTAAAAATAGATTTAAAGTAGGTAAAGTTAGTCGGGGGGCTAGAAGATAGGTTTTTAAAAACCTTGGGTTTATAAAAAAATGAAACTTAAAAATAAGGGGTATGGAGATATTTTCCCTATAAACTTTTTCCTTACATATTTACATATCAAACATTTATGTTCGTCAATGCAGTGCTGTTGTTGGCTCATAACAAAAATTTTATTAAAACCCACTCTGACCATTAATTACGGTAATGAGTGACACCTTTATAAGGGCCTTAAAATAGGGAAAATTATAGGTACCACCAAAATGAACTTAGTAGACATCCTACTCTCTAATACTTTTAGTACGTCACCCTAAACCCAACATTGTTTTGTATTTACCCCAGTCAAAAAGTCAAAAAAATTAGAACTAAAATGTCATTCTTCTCTCTATACCCACCTTCTCTCTTTCTCTCTCTACATGGCTGAAAATATTTGACATGTCACCTTTTTATTCTCTCTCTATCCACCCTATCTCTTTTTCTACGTGCCCTCTCTCTCTTTTTCTTTCTCCATCGCCCTCTCTATCTACTCGCCCTCTGTCTCTCTCCTCCTCTCTCTTTCTCTCTCTTTCTACCGACCCTCTCTCTCCTCTCTCTCTCTCTCTCTTTCTCTCTCTCGCTATCAGCCCCCTCTCTTTTTCTCTCTTTGCGGTCGAACTGATTTTTTTTTTTTGCAGCTACTCTCTAACCTCTCTTATTTGCAGCTTCTTGATCTCAAGAACCTCAAATCTCTCTTTGGGGCGATCTCCATGAAAACCATTTTTTGGGTGAAATTCTTTTGGAATTGGGCACCTAAATACATAGACTTATCTGAAAACAAGCTTTCGGGCTTCATCCTTTCTCTATTAGAAAGCTATAAAATCTTGCTCCAACAAACTTAGAGGGAAAATCCCTAGCTCCATTGGAGAGATGGGTTCTCTGAAAATTTGGTACCTCCGATAATCAATTCTCTGGCTCTTTGCTTGAATCAATTGGAAGGATGGGTAATATTCAAAGACTGATTCTTGAAAATAACATGCTTTCTTGTGATATTCCAGACAGTTTAGGCAATATCAGTTCTCTTACTTATATATATATTTATCCAATAACCAATTAAAGGGCAAGATTTCGGCAAGTTTGGACAAGGTTTCGAACCTTCAAGCTCTTGATCTCTCTAAAAACAGGCTCTCTGGACGTCTGTCCCTGCAACTCTCAAAGCTTGGAGACCTGCAAACTCTAGAGTGAGAGACAGCGGGTAGAGAGAGAAATAGAGAGAAGATAGAGAGAGGGTGGGTAGAGAGAAAGAGAGAGGAGAGAAAGGATGGGTAAAGAGACATGACGAATAGAGAGAGAAAAAGAGAGGCGAGAGAGAGGGAGGGTAGAGAGAGATGGCGATAGAGAGAGAAAAAGAGAGGGCAGATAGAGAAAAAGAGGAAAGCAGGTAGAGAGAAAGAGAGAAAGCAGGTAGAGAGAGGAACATAGATAGATAGAGGGCGGGTCATTGTTAGAAAAACCGGGCGATCTAACCGGTAACCGCCGAGTTAGATCGGAACCGGCCCCTTGTCGATTCCGGTTTTGGTGATCGGCCGATATTTTAAAAATAAAAATTCAAAAAAATGTATATAAAATCCTAAAAATAAGGAATTTGATTTCTAATACATTTTTTAATATTTTTTTAACTGTTTTGGTCATTAATACTCACTTTTAAAATCCATGTTTTTCATTAATTTTCAACTTGATTTGAATGCGTTTTGTTTTAATCATTATTTTTATACTTTTCATATTTTAGTAGATTTTTTTTGCATGTTTTTTATTTTTTTCAACAATTTTTTGGCCACCCAAGATTTGCCCTGTTAGCACGGTTGAATCAGCCGGTTTACCGATTAAGTCGGTTAAACCGCTTCTGACCCCATGTCTAGTTAATTGTTTCGGTTCAATTTTGCAAACACTGGGGTGGGTAGAGAGAGAGAGAGGATGGGTAGAGAGAAGACGTAAGAGAATAAGAAAAGAGTAGATTTCTGGCTATGTAGAGAGAAAAAAGCAGAAGAGAGAGGGCAGGTAGAGAGAAAGGGAAATAACATTTTAGTCCTTTTTTTTTTTGATTGAGAGCGTAAATACAAAAAAAATAATATTGAAGTTTAGGGTACGATACTAAAAATATTATGGTAGGATATGTACAAAAGTTCAACGCCCTTTATTTGACTTAGGCTTGAAAATTAGCTTTCCTAGATGAATTTCATAAAGAATGTAAATGAACACGTGGTATTTAGTCTCATAGCCTATGAGTCATAGGAGAACACGGCCGATAATATGATATAATCCCTTTTGGTCTCATAAGAGGCCCTATGACAATAGCATTTACAAAAAGAAAAAGGAATTTATCAAAATTATTAATATTTTATTATTTATTAATGTAATTATTTTTTATTTAATTTTAAAATGCCCTGGCCATTAAAAACATCCATGAGTTGGAATAGCTGAAAAGTGTAAAATATTAAATAGTTGAAATCGGTGTTTGAAAAATCGGTGATCCAGATTGAAATCGTCCAATCCAAATCATAATTCCTTCCTGAACGACTTGGTTTCTATAATATATTGGGAACCAGTTGCGTCTCCAATAACCGGCCGGTTTAGGCTAGTCCCTACCAATTTGTCCTTTTGTATTTTAAAAGCATTTTTAAATGATTTTTCCTTTTATTTTTATCCTTATGAAATTAAATAGTACTTGTTAACTAGTCCACCTCCTGTCCCTTCCACATGTAAATAGTACCGTCTTCTTTTCGAAATCCCATCCTTCGTCCCTTCCTTGTCTTTTTGAAATTAAATAGTTGCTAGCCCATGTCTTATCCCTTCCCCATGTAAGAAATTCGGTAAAATACACCCTAAATAGTTACTCGCCCATCCCTTGTCCTTCCACGTGTAAAAAACAATGGCATGATACACCCCCACTGTACGCCAAAGCTTAGCCATGCACACCAATCACGTTTAAGAAGGAGAAGCAATGTCTTTTATACAACCAAATGCGTCTCCAAATTTACAATTCGTAACAATTTCATCTTCTCAACTACGACATATTCTTTCACGTAGTACACAAAAATATTGCGATTGATATTTGTTAAAAGTGAAAACACTATATGAACATAATTAATTGATATTTTCAAAAACTATATGAAAACAATATATAATATATAAATATAAAAAAAATATTAATGCATTTAAAATTCTACACTCGAGGAAACAACATTTAAATTTTCATCAAACACAAACCGTTTACGCATGTTTCTCTACTAAAACCAAAATTGTTAGAGAGAGAAGTCATCTTCAATAAGAATTTTAGAGGTTGAGAATCCTAAAATATTCAATAATCAATAGGCATCCAAACAAGCAAACAGGCAACAACATCGTATTTTTACAAAAATAATTAAAGTACATAATACACCACCCCTATATCAAAACCAGCCGATCATGCCGATTCTCCAATCTAGAATGCCAATCCATTGATTCAACTTGATTTTTGAGATGGCCAATCCGGGGCACCGATCGGTTTTGTTAAACCTTAATTGAAATTATTGGTGTATGCGATAAGTTTTCCTTTTAAAAAAGACCAATATAATATCCAAATCATGGACCAGATGATAGAAGCATATGTTAGTTTGAGATACGGCTGCAGCACAACCCTAAAAAAGTAGGACTTGGGCTACGAACTGTGGCCCGCAAGGCTAGGGCCAGTGCCGCCTGGTTTGGATCTCTTTTTTTCCCCCTAAACTCTTTTGTTATTTCTTCATTTGTTTTTGGCCCAGTATGGTCCTCCCAGGGGGCCGGGTCTAGGCAGGCCTCATGTGGACAAGGGCCGGACCAAGCCCAATAATGGCCCTGCCGGGCCAGCCTGTTGCCGCCCTTAGTTTGAACAAGACTCAAAAAGGGTTCAAACACTTGACTTTCCTTACCTGAACCGATATGCCTACCACGAAGCTGGAGAGTTTGGAGCAAATTATGATACCACTAACGAAATTGTATTGAAAAGAACAATCCCCAAAATTGATATTGAAAAGAACAATTCCCCTAGATGGTGGATTATTAGATCTCATTTAAATAGACCGTTGTTTCTTATTGGAGGCAACACATTTTGAAGGCCCCTGAGCATTTGCATCCGCATGCTTTGTTATTAAAATACAACAATACGGAATCCTTGGGTTACACAGAACAAGGAGTCTACTTATGGCAAAAGGTACTCAACAACTTGGAAATGACATCCATAATTCTTTCTCATTTCAAAATCATGTGCTTTTAAATTCTCTTTTTTTTTTTTTTTCTCTGAGTGTATTTGTCAATTGTCATTTCAGAAAACATTACAGTACCTTTGCATTTTTTTAGTCTATTCAATCAGTGATCAATTTGAAGACGGAGCTTTTGAGTAAGATGTCTCAAAGTTACCTTCAAGAACTGGAATTAAAAGCTCCCAGACGGAAACATAGATGTGGATTTTCTTTATAAGAATCACAAAAACCAGTTGCTTATAAACTGATCTTTCACGCTTTGGTCATTACATATTTGTCCATGTGCATCCTCTTGCTGTCATATTGAACAGTTATTTACATCTGGGCCAGCTTCAAGTAAACACTAAGAGATACTCATCTTTGTCACCCTCAACTTCCCATCCATAGTACTTGGAATCAATGATCCACCCATCACAGAAACATTATTAATTGACATAATTTATGTATTACATGTTGACATAAATGAGAAACTTAGGACATGAGAAAATAAGAGCTGTAAATAGAGGCACGTCTCATGATTGCCGGATCTTCAAAGAATAATGTTCATCAAGCCAAGATATAATATCACCAAGAACCCTGAATATCATCTCATCTGATTCCCCTTCTAGTATAGCATGATATGCATTCTCATATAAGCAGAGCTTCTTATCCTTGCTGCTTGCCTTCTGATGGAGAGCTTTACTCACTGATGGATCAGTGACCACATCTGCCTCTCCATGTAGAATCAATAACGGCAAAGAGACCTAAACAAAATAGAACTTTAGTGATACCTATATGTTTGTAATTTCTACTTCATGTAATATAACGTAAGAAAGACACCAATAACATATGGTACACCATGGGGACATCCACCATATGCCCTAGAACATGGACAGTAGAGATTGACTATGTCCCTAATGTGTACATTTTGATCACCACTGGCCATCTGGAAAGGATGCAGATGTGCTTGTGGTGTACCACACACATACTAGTGTATGGTATACTATCTGACGTAAAAAACAATCTGCCATGAATTCACAACAAAGGTCCTCTAGCTAGAATATTTGTGATATAGCTAATTTTATTTTCTAGACTGCTTAAGAACATAATTGATAACACTCAGGAGTTCTAGAAGAAACATGGGCTGGTCACTGGTGAAAGGAATTATATGTGCAGATTATGTGCTCTGCACCACTGTCATCTCTCTCTCTCTCTCTCTCCGTCTCTCTTTCTCTCTTTTTTTCGATTTTCTTTGGAATCATTTCATACTAGTAATGATTGTTTCTCTCTTCTAGTTCTCTTGTTGATTGGTTTCATTTTATTTTGTTTCCGTATTGACCTTTCAAATCATTTTTGTTGTTATTATTCTGTTCTGATGATAAATTATTACCTCCTGTTCTTATGTTAAGATGGTTTAAAGTTTTTGGGGTAAACCTGATCTTACAAAATCAATTCACAATTACCAAAAAATAAAAAATAAAAATAAAATCACTAATTCTTCAGTAGTAAGATTTTGTGCAAATCACAACTTAGCATGCGTTAATAAGAACAAATGATAAAATGAGATGAGAAATATTTTCTTACATCTTGGAGTCGGCGTTCTATCTCTTGGCAAGTTCGTAACATCTCCACTGCAGTTCGGAGTCGTGGCTTGTCTTTGTAAGAAATTACGTTATATGAACACTACATTCATGAGAATTGAGATACGTCCAAGTTAGTGTTATGTTGTTGAAATACAGTTAACTTATGCTAGGAACATAAAACATTTATAAAGGAAAAGTATACCATATTCCATCATAGTATATAGTGCTCCAAAAGGCATCATCCACCATCCATTCCCTATGATGGATGGTGGAGATTAACTGTACATGGGTGTCCCCAATGTTTATCATCAGGAACAAATGGCAGATCCTCCTTTGAAGTCCACCATATTCCATAGGATTATGGTAAGATTTACCATTTAGAAACAAGGAATGCTGAAATTTAGCTCACCAGTTTTCTCTTTTCCAAGTCCCTAAATGCCATATCTGCTAAATCTGATTGCGGAACCAACTTATGTCTTGGAAGGACATTAGCAATTCCAATCAACATTTGTGTCACCAGCCAAGGAGGAACCATATTGTCTGCAATCTAAGAGAGAATGAAAAGTTCAGTTAATAAAGGGTTGGCTAATTAAGAAGAGAAGATGGATAACTTAGCTAGTTTACATATTATTACCTTACACATAGGGGCAACAAGTACTGCACCATCCCATGAATGGGGTTGCTTCAAGTGCACCTTGAGAGCTACTGCTCCACCCATAGACTCTCCAAAAAGGAAGAATGGGAGGTTGCAAAACTCAGATCTTTCTGAAAAACCAAAAAAGAAGTCAGAATCAGATGACTGAAGAGAAATTAGGAAGAACAATATGATAATTACTAGATTTATTTCATTCTTTGCCAGATAATGAAACATCCAGATCAAGAATTCCACCAAAATGAGCCAAAGTAGTGTCATCCATAATGAAGACCCTTCACAACTGAGATAAGAAACACTCACGCATGACAAGAACATGACCAGTTTCATGTTTACTTTCAAATATAAAGAATGGGAATGAGAAGCTTATACGGTACTTATACCCAGTGTTGGACAATAAAATAGACAAAAAAATATATATACATCGAGAAGTAACATTATTAGAGTTTTCTGAACTAGTGACTTGAAGTTCAAAATCCTGAAACAGATTTCATGTAACATGGGTTTGTCCTAATTTGATTTGGTTCACGAAACCATTTTGTTCTCTATACTAAAGTCTCATTGGTGGAATAGTAATATAAGCAGGGGTCTGGGTCCCAGGTAGCTTCTTTTATCACAAGTTCATTAATGTGTTGAAGCACCGCATTCCAGGCTTGAATCAAACCAGCCACCTACTCAAAAGACTCAACTACTGTATACATATATATGCAAGGGCAAGGAGAGTCGCATCAAATATTTCTACCACCATCACCATCATCATCATCATCATCATCTGAGTCTTATCATAATTATTTGGGGTCAGTTACACAAATCTTGTTCCCCGTACTCTTTTAGAGCCTTCCACTTGAACCAAAGCACCCCTCTTAATTGGTGATATTCTAGGTCGACGTTAACATGACTAGTACTACTTTCCCTCATTTTATCGCTTTTTGGAGTTGCCCCTAAGTTTCCTCGCATGCATTTATTTTGAATTCTATCCTTTTTTGTCTTGCAACTCATCCATCTCAACATGCTTATCTCAACTACAATCATTCTATGGATACGTTGTTTCTTGACCGCCCAACATTCCATCCCATAAAGCATGGCTGGTCTCAGAGCCATCCCATAGAACTTCCCCTTCATTTTCATTGGCATGCGACAACAAATAAGACTCCAGGAAGACATCTCCACTTTGCCCACCCAGCTCCAATTCTATGAGCAACATCTTCCTCAATATCTCCTTTCTTATGAATTATTGACCCAAGATATAAAAGATAATCTCTCTTAGGTACTTCTAAGCCATAAATTCTAACCAATTACTCATTTATGCTCCTAACATTACTAAACTTGCATTCCATATGTTTTGTATAAGTCTGGCTAATTTTAAAAACTTTAGATTTCAAAGCATCCCTAAAAATTTCTAACTTCACGTTTACATTGTCTCTAGTCTCATCAATCAAAATTCTATCATCTGCAAACAACATACAACACGAGATATTATCCTACAAATGCCGCGTTAACTCGTCCATAACTAAAGCACGAAGATAAGAGCTCAAGACTGACCCCTGATGCAAGCCGACGGACGGTCACTGCAAACTTACTTGTCTCTCCACTAGTTGTCCTCACATTAATTAGCACTCCCTCGTGCATATCCCTAACCATGTGAATATATCCTTCTCGAGAAAATTTTCTTTTCCAGCACCTACTAAATTTTCTCTAAGTACTCTATTGTATGCTTTCTCTAAATCATAAAGAACATCCATATGTCTTTCACTTCTCCCTAAATTTCTCAATCAATTGCCTACGTAGAAAAATAACTTCAATGATTGACCTCCTTTGGCATAAATACAAACTCATTTTTAGATCCACTCATTTCACATCTTAGTTGTTGCTCAATCACACTCTCCCATAGTCTCATAGTTCGGCTTATAAATTTGATCCCTCGATAGTTCGTACAACCCTATATGTATCATTTGTTCTTGTAAATAGGTACCACAATACTTTCCCACATTCATCTGGAATTTTCATTATTCTCAAAATCTTGTTGGTCAACTTGGTCAACTAGAATATGTCAACCTCTCCTATGCACTTTTAAACCTCTATCAATATATCATCTGGTCATAAAGTCTTTCCTATTTTCATCTTCTGGTCATAAAGTCTTTCCTATTTTCATCTTTCTCAAAGCTTGTTTCACTTCAGATGTCCTAATCCTATGAAAGTATCTATAACCTCTGACCTCATTTATGTCAATGGTTCCTTAAAACACTGAACTCCCATAACGGTCGTCATTTAACAATTTCTGAAATAGATTCTCCACCTTTCATTTACATTGTCATCCTTCACCAACACCTTTACTCTTAAATGCATTTAACATGATCTAAGTCCCTACAGTTCCCCTCTCTCATATGGCTAGTTTGATGGTAGCGTTTTCACTTTAAGTTTAGCCTTACTATGTTCCTAGCGTTCCTCTAGGCATTTGTATATTCTTCTAAAGTTTGAACATGTTTATTCCCATCCAAGCTTTATAACATGATTGTTTTTTGTTAACAGCCTTTTGATGTCTTTTCCCTATAGATTCCCATAAAACGTTTTTTGTACTTTTAATACAACCATCCATCTCATTCCACCTAAGATTAACTTCATTCTTCGAATTCTAGTTTCCTTCTTTCATCAATTTACTCCTAAATAAGTCCGTTTTCTCCCTTTTTAAGTTCCATTACTTAGTTCTTGGACACCGATTAATATCACTTCTCTTCCATCTCTTAATGGAAACATCCATAACCATGAGCCTATGTTGCATGATCAACCTCTCTCATGAGATAACTTTACAGTCTTTATATGATGATTGTTCTATCTTCTTAACTAGAAAAAATTCTATCTTTTATATTATCTATTTTTGTAAGTTATGAAATATTCAACTCGTTTTAAATGGTAGATCAAAAATTATCCCATCTTGTTAAATTGTGGACTGGACATTATTACACAGCCCAAGGAAATAGCTATACTTTGAACAATGGTAACTTAGAAGTTACCCCATGCCTTAGCAGCTTGCCTAGGCATACCTTAGGAGAATTACCATTAGCATTGGGGCCCACTTGAGCTGCTATTCTTTTACATGGTTTGCAAGGATTAAAACATAGTTAATCTCGAAGTCCATTTTCCAAAGAAATACTTAACCCAAAACCTATTTTGGGACTTGATCCTTCAAGAGACACCAATGAAAGTCCTAAACCCTATTATGGACCAATAAGCACATTTCAATGTTCCAAATATGAAAAATAACAATAAAGAAGTAAATTTTCTTTCTTTGGGGTTTTATACTGTTCATTTTTGTTCTTTTGAACAAAATAATAAAGGTCTCATTCTTGTTCAAGTAAAATGGCTGATGTGTCGAAGTATAAACATATTAAACATCTTCTCAACTCTAATCATAGATTAATAAGTTTTCTTTCAGTTCAAAATCACAAGTTATCTCTATATTTTTAAAATAAAAAAAGTTCAATGACATACCTGTATCCCAACCACGTGTGCACCCCCATGCATGCACACACACATATATACACACAATATGTAATACAATTGTTATATATCTATATATTAATAGATTATAATATGAAACTACCATCATGTCCTAGGCAAGGTGCCACCATAACATCTTGAGCTTACTATCCTTCTATGAAGTCATTGCTCCCTTTGCTTATCAGAAAAAGGAGAAAAAGAAGAAGCCATCGTTTCCTTTAGTTCCTTCCGAACATGTTTCACATTGTTGGCTATAACATGCATTATTGGATGATCACCTCTATTTTATTTTATTTAGTCTAATCTGTTTGATTGTCCTCTAGCTCTGTTTGTTTCACTTTGCAATTCTTATTCTTCAGATCCCTTGACCAATTCAATTGACAAAGTTCTATATTTTGTCAACACCTTCAGGGGAGCTACCAGGGGCACTCTGTTAAGAGCATGGCCTATGAAAGGGCCAAATGACCTCAGCCTCCGTAGGAGTTTCTTGTGACGCTAAGCGTCACACAATATGAGAAATAGGGCAACTAGAATACTTTCAGGAGTTCTTCTAATTGACAATAATATATATATATATATGTGTGTGTGTGTGTGTGTGTGTGTGTGTGTGTTGGTTTTGTTGACTGCAAGCTTTGATTGTAGGAGTTTCTCTTTTGAAAGTCTATTTTATGGATCCAGAAAGTAGGACAGGATGGTGTATTAGAGTAGAAGAGTTGGTGTAATGCACGATGGGTTATACATAGATTTTCGACCACCAAGGATTCATTCCTAAACTTTATTGGACTGTTTTAAGAAACTTCATGAAATTTTGAGCCCCATCATCTTTGGTAAGTTCCTTGTGATTGTTTTCTTGGCTCTTTTCAATCCTAGGTGCATCAGTTTCCATGCTCGGCTCCAAAATTCCTTGGTTTCGACACCAATTCGTTATTCAACATTTGATGGATATACTACATCCACAATTCCACCATCTCCATCAATAGCAAGGCTGGCAAACCATTCGCAGTCCTTCCAGACCTCAAAAGCATCTTTATATTGGAGCACCCTACTACAAGCCCTTGGAAGCAGAATGATTGTAAGAAGCAAGTATAGGCCATTGCCCTTTCTGTCTTACATTTATTATTGCTTCAGGTACTATAGTTATAAGTTTGTCCATTCTTATGTAAGTACCCAGTCATTCAATAAGTATACATCAAATTGGGATCACGATTCAAGAGAACATGAAAACAAGGAGGGATTCATCAAGCGGAAAGTGAAAGAAGAGAAAGGGAAAAGATAGATTGTTTTTTCTCTCTTTCTTTTTTTCGGGGGTGGGGTAGGGGTGTGTTGGTTTGGAGGTTTTTGTGGGGGTGTTTGTTTGGTGTTGTTTTTGGGGTGAGAGCAGTGCAGTGGTTTTGGGTTTGGGGTTTAGAAGTTAAGAAGACATGCATAGGAAAGAGCATAAGAAAGTGATGGGAAAACTGACAGGGAAAAGGAGCCTAAAAGAATCGGGATGATTCACTGCACTATGAATGTTCTCTAGTATTTTTAGTCCTCAGATTAATAATGTTCTCGTGTTTGTTTTTCTATAGGGTACTTTAATCATAGGATACCTTAGAATCATGTAAGCACTTCAATGCATGAATAATAAATCCTACCCACTGTTGTTGGCTTTGCTTCAGGCCAAAGAGGCTTATATTTTCTGCTTCAGCTTCCAAAGAAACTTCCAAAAGAAAGAAGGGCCTGCTTCAGCCCTCTTCAGTCTTTTTGAGCTGAATTCTTAGGCGTCTTCACCCATCTTTAGCCGAAAAAAATATTTTTACTTCTTCCAATATTTTTGTTTTCCTTTTTCTGAAGAAAACACCCAAAGTCTTCTCATGAATCATCTGAGGCACCAACAGAAACAGGCTCGGCAGAGCAAGTGTTTATGACCTTTTCCTCTCTGTACTCTAATCCGCGCTCATTACTAAGGTTTTGAAATATCCTAATCTACTCAACCATCACCATCTGCAGCTGAGGAAATTGCCTTTTGCAAATTCATGACAAAAGCTGCATGCAGATGTGTTTACTTGGAACTTTTCTCTTCTTTGTGAAAGCAGTCAACATCATGGCAAGACCAGCATTTTTACTAAAAATGCCACAAAAGAGATGCACTTATTTTCCTTAACAATAAATTCAAAAGAAAGATCTAAATCATATATTACTGATGTTAAGAGAGAAAAATTTTCTTCAAATCCGCATCCACAGAAAGATGTTTCTTAACTAATATGAAAAGGCAACACTAAGAACAGAAGAAGTACCTCTGATTTTGGAGAAATGCTCAATGACATCATCAACAAGTACATCAAAGCTTGGAATATAGCCATGAAGCCCTTCCGAAAGGCCGAAACCAGGGTAGTCCATACTAAACACACCAAATCCAGATGATGCCAACTTCCTGGCAGTTCCTATAGTTCATGATAACATTCTCATGATTAAATGAACATATTGAGTAGAATCTAGAAATTTAATGTAACTTTATGGGCTAGGTACCTACCTTCAAAGAAAAAGGTGCATGTATCCCCATATCCATGACAAAAGCACACAATTGCTTTTGTAGTAGAAGTCTCAGGCAACCAACTTTTAGAAAATATCTCTAAGCCTCTGGAATTCTTTTCATATCTCTGAAACATTAGGAAATGCCAGGCAATGTCTGAGTTTCACACCAGTAAAGCTCTCACCAAATGACAGATATTTACCACCAATGTTTGGTAACCATACATAATACTAAGGAAACACCCCATATAGGGGAATGGTTCTCAACCTACAATCAGCACCGTGAGAAATTCAAATGTAGAGATTAACCATTTGTAGTAGAGCCACAAACAGATGAAATTAAAGAAAACTAAATGCACTTCAAAAATGACAACATTTCTGTGAGGAGGAATTATTTTAGATCACAAAATGCCAAACAATAAATATGGCAGGTGCTTATATTTGGATGCTCTTACTATTAATACATGTCCATGATTCCAATGGAAAATGATGAGCAGAACTATAATATCCAGTATCTAGTTTGTCAAAGAAACCCGCGCCAGCAAAAATCACAGATTTTTGAAATCATTTCCACAAAAACATTTATTCCCAAGCCAACTTTTTGGATTATGGAGAGCAACTAGACAGAAGAAACTGGAATACTTTTAAAGTGCATACCTCATCCATCTTCAACCCTTCGACACTTGTCTGTAAAAATAAATAAATGAAAATGAAGTCAAATAACATGTAATTATTCCATATGAATTAATAATAACATAAAAATTGATAAGTACTCATATGACCACAATAATTTCTTCAAAGTCATTAGATCAATCTAAGATACTTTTCCAGGAAATGTTTTATGCATACCAACCAGTGTATAAATGCTACCAATTCACTTTTGTTTGGGTTTGGAGCAATTTTTAAAAGTAGGGCTCTTCCCATACAGCTGGAAAAGCCATCTGGACAATCTCTCTCTCTCTCTCTCTCTCTCTCAAAAGATATTTACACCTACATGCTCCCTCTCTCTTGAGTGTTTGACAACTTGTCATCCTAAGACTGCAAGATACACTTATATAATACATCAAAGGTTGTGATGCCACCAGCAGATCCACAGGCTTATTCCAGATTCCTTGGACATGATTGCTCAGTATAAGTCTCACACCTAAGTGACCATACAGGTTTCAATCCTCACAATAGGTTTAGCAGTATACTACCGTGAAACAGGTCAAGGCACACTTTTTATCATATTATATATCATATCTTTGTAACCATTTAAATGATCAAATGGGCAATATTAAATTGAAAACAGAGAAGATTATCACTAAATCCCTTTCATTTATCACCATACCAAATATATTTCCATTTATACATGATTTTTATGGTACTTATTGCTTGGACATATATGCATAAATAACTTAATACATGTTTTTTATTTTTTTTGAAAAGCAATAACTTACACATGGTTAACTGACAAAATTACACTTTGACAAGCATGTTCACATGCCATGTAGAATTACAAGGTGTACGCATCACTTGGCCAATAACATTGATTATAGTCTAGAGGATGCTTAGTTATATTACACGAAATCATAGTTTTGTTAGCCAACTCCAAGTAGATGGGATAAGGCCCAGATGATGACATAGAAAATGAGAAGTTATCATCTACAAGAACGTTACGTGTAAAGTATTTTCCATAACCCAGTGGGAGGCCAGTGAACTTCATGTTCTCCCAGTGGGGGGCCAGTGAAATTTCATCTGATGCCGCTTCTCATCCATTTCAGTTCAGTTCAACTGTATCCATAAGTGAAATATCGTTCAGCAAGATTAGGGTTCTAAACCTTTTCATGATTTCCTTGAATAGTTGACATTAGATACTCTCTCTCTCATGGGCACTTCGCATGAATACTTCAAAGGTATTATGGACCATCTCCTGCACTAAGCCCTCAGTCACATCACCAACTATAAACAGATGTTAGGTATTAACTTAGTCATGCCAGAAGTCTCCGTAGGTGGATAACTCTCTCTCTCCCAAGGAGACAAGTCTATCCATTCTTACTCAAAGGTCCAGTGAAGTAAGTCGCTCTCAACAAGTTACTCTTGGTTGAGAAATATGTTTCTTGCAAGTTCTACTCTAAATCCCATTAAGCCATTGTTACTTCAATCGATCAACTACCCGTCCTTTATCTGTGAGGCATCTATTTACACATGTTGGAAACAGGAACCATACGACGAGGTTGAAGAAATTGAAAAGATCTTAAGCAGTGACCAACATGAAGGGAAGAAACCAACTGGATGCAGGAGCAATCTAAATCCTGATTATTCTACTAATTTAGCCATAGAATTTGAAGAGAATGGAACTGATTTAGAAGAGAAATTTGCATATATTGCCTTATGGAGAACCAAGGGGTGATATGCAACTCATCTAACATGATGCATCGATGCTAAAGGCATTTTTGCAAGGAGACCTAAAGAAAGAAGTTCATATGATTGCTCCTATGATGAACCTAGATGGATCCACCAATCTTGCTAATAACTTTGAGAAGGCAATAAATTAGAATGATGAAGAAGAGGCTATATATAAATTAGCGCATGTTCTTAGGACTTGATTTGTTACGCTCAGCTTTGATGATGAAGGAATGGTGTTAAAAAAAAATATTTCTTGTGATATCGCTATATTTTTCAAGATCTCCAGAAAGGGCTCAGTAGTCCTACTAGTCCTGGTGAATGACACAAAAATTACAGGGGATGATCATACATCTTACCAAACTGAAGCAATTGATTGGCAATAAGATGGAATGATAGAGAAGAAATTTATTTTTCATAGTGTAAATAAGCGTAGTTTGTGGTGCCTTTTTGAAATGAAGTGGCGTTCATATTCTATGAAATAAAGAGCTAAGCTTCTAAAGGACCTTTTTATCATCAAGTATTGGAAGCAACATCTCACTATAACCAACTAGATATCAACACTGTTGTTAGCCTACTTTGTTTTTTTTTACAACCCCTGACAAAAAAAAAAATCAATATATAAAAATAACACAAGTTACAAGGTTTTTAATACACAGAGCAAGCACCTCTGGCTTGAGGTGCAGTTCTTAGAGGTTTCATGTTGACATCAATTTCATGTGGATAAAATTTTCAATGAACTTAAAGAGAAAAAGGACGCACAAAACAAAATAAAATAAAATAATGTAGATTAAGCTATATATATTTTCAGATGATATGCTTTCGATTCACCAGTGAACAAAGAAGTAAAATAAACATACGTATTTAGCCTAATTTGATTTCAATTATGATAAATGAGGAATTAGCTAGACAAGTGCTTAAAAGTCTGCTCATCACAAAATCTAATTTTAGTGGCAAAAGAATCCGAAGATTATAAATCACAGAAAAAGCTTTTAAAATAAAAAATTACCAGGAAAACTCAATAAAAAGAAGTCTTTTTAAAGTGAAAGAAAATAACATAGTTATCTCACATTTAAAAGAAAACGTAAAGGAAGAAGAATTTGTCACAGTATACGTGATTCTGATAATTAAAACAGGGGTTGAGAAAACAGTGCATATAAAGATGCAAAGAAGCAAAATCAGGCCACAAAATATTCCTAATAAAAAAGGTGATTTGTAGGTAAATAAATCACGCTATGGGAAGACCAAAAGAAAAAGAAAATCGAGAGTCATACCAATCAAATCCGAAAGAAATAGATAGATGCTAAAAAGGCCACACTTCTAAAAAATTGAAAAAAGAAATGACGGTACAAAACAAATTCCAATCACAAAAACTTCTATGAATCTTCAAACAAAAACCATAAAAAGAATTTGATGGCATCAAAACATCAATGGTTAAACTCTCGCACAAGAACAAATAAAAATTCGAATTACAAATTGAGCCTAAAGTAGTATATTTTAAAAAAAACACTCGCATAAAAAAACGAAAAATTCACCTTGAAGCGTCACGCCAAGAGAATGTGACAAACAAAATGAAAGAAGAAAAAAAATAATTCAGAGACACAAAAACCCTAACAAAAGAGACAGAGAATATAGCCACTTTTCAAGAGAGACATATATACTGAACAAATAACAAACTCAATCCTTGGTGCTGAATCCTACAAACTGAGCTTCCAAATCAGAGTTAAAAAATTATATAAAAAATAAACTAGAAAGTCACCATTCAATTTCTACAAGAAGGGGGAAAGAAGTAAAGAAACATTAGCACAGACTAATAAAAAAAATTGAGCAATGAAATGGAAGTAAAACTAAAAAAACTTCTAACTCTTTAGTTATTGAAAAAGAAAACATGAACAAAACAAAATAATAATCATAACGAGAAGAGAAACATAAATGAAAATAACTGTCCACCAAAAGAATAAGAAGAAGCCATTTTTTGAACGATAGAATAAGAAGAAGCCATTACCTTTAACAAGCAATGATCAATACTCATCTGCAAATCCTTAAAGGCCTCTCTTGCCCTCCTCCTCTCACGCACATGGTCCATTGGCGCAGTGACGATTTCCCTCAAATCATCGCCGATTCCTTCCATAAAAATCGCCAATGGTTTGCTCTTCCTCGGCTTCACCATTGAAGCTGCAATACCATCACCCGCCACCCTCTCAGTCCCTCTTTGAACATAATTAATCAACAAATTTATTCTTCTTTAAAACAATTTACTTTTTTAGAGAGAGAAACTAAGCATGCCCTCTATCTTCCTCACATTAGAATATTCTGACTAAAAAAGCTTACAGAGAAAGCAAATGGGGAGAGAAAAGTCAAATACAACTCAGTCAAGCTCTCTTTCTTCTTCGCAATAGAAAATTCAAACTAATAATGATTACAGAGAAAATGCTAACTAATAATAGATTCGAGAGAGAGAGAGAGAGAGAGTACGAGCTTTCCGGTAAATTTCCGGTCGCCAGAAAATTTTGGCGAGAGATTTTCGCTTCGAAGCCATCAGAGAAAGCCAGTGGAATTCGTTTCCCTGTTTTTTTGTTTTTTGTTTTATTTATTTATTTATTTTTTTATTTTTTTATTTTTATTTTTTTATTGTATTGAAGGCCAATAAAGAGGAGTCAAAAGGGGTGGCGGATTGTGACTGTTGTTAAGCGTCAGATTTGATAAGTAAATGGAGACTGTAATGGACCTGGGTATTTGATGAAATTACAGGATTGACCTAAGGCCATAAATTTTGGATCATGGTGATTATAAGGAAAGAAATAAATTTTAAGACTTGAGGTGCACCATAAAAGGGTAAGAATCTAGATAGGGGTAGTGAGAAAGGTTTGGGATTTATGGCTAAAATTAATATTTTGAAGATGTTTTATTATGTATTTGTGTTGGGTCTCACTTTTTGTGGTCCACGTCATAGATGGACGTTTGATGCTCGGGTATTCCCCGTCAAGTACGTAATATTGAAAAACTATGTTTCCAAAAATATCATTTTTAGGGATTTTTTTTAAATAAAAAAAAAGGGCTTTGCAAATCAAGATGATCCTACAATGCAAATACCTAATTTTAAAAAAATGCTTTTTCCAAAGATAGGTTGTATTTAGGGTGATAAGTTGTTGTAATTAGGGGATAGGTTGTATTTAGGGCTATTAATGATCCAGGCATGTTATCGGCCCGCTATCGGGCCTGTTTCGAGCTTCGGACTGGGTCACTCGGCATAGCACTATCTAACAGGCCGGGCTGGGCCTTTATCGGTGTAAGCCCGGAAAGCTCGACAATGTGCCCAACTGCTCGGCTGGTCCGGCATCCTTGAAAAAGCAACCCTGCCCATTTAGAATGATTTTTTTTTTTTTTGTTCAATATTCACTCTTCAAACTTTTAATAAACAAAAAAATAAATAAATAGATGCAAAAATATTTTTTAGTAAATTTAAAACTCATTCTATATCTTACTGTCTCTAAACACTCATTCTCTTTAGAAACCCAATCTCTCTCTCTAGGAACAATCTTTCTCTCTCTAAAAACTCAAACTCTCTTTAAGAACCCAATATCTCATTCTCTTTCTAAAAATCCAATCTCTCTATAAAAATTCATTATCTCTTTAGAAACCTAATCTCTCTTGTGCTATCAACCGAATCTCTCTTTCTAAAACCTATTTTATCTCTCTTCAAAAATCCAATTTCTTTTTCTCTCTCTAAAAAAATATTTAAAGATATGTTTGTTTGGCTTGCTACTAAAAAAAGTTTAAAGGGTGAGATTTAAAAAAATTAATAAATAAATAGGCTTCTTAATAGGATTGATCCAGTCCAATAAAAGCTTAACGAGCCAGGCCAGGCTTCACCGTTACATATCTGAGGCGGGCTTTTGTCCAAGCCTTATTGGGCCGGGCCTAGAAAGTTCGGGGCCTCAGGCAAGCGTGTCCCATTGGCAGCCGTAGTAATATCTCATATCTAGGACTTGATTTTCTGCTTTACAAATCAGGATGATCGCACACAATGCCGAGCCGCGGGGACGACAGAGATTTGTTTTTGGACATTGTTGTCTTTCTAGGTGGAATTGAGGTTATGGATCAATGCCACTTAAAGATATTTTCTCTTAATTGGGTGGCGCCCTCCTCTTGTGTTTGGTAAAGAGGAGAAAAGTCTTTCAAATGATTTGATGGGATGGGGTCTAGGGATTTGACGGGGAAGGACATATTGCTCTTTCTTTTTCGAGAATAAATTTAATGAGAGTCCGCACTCAAAGAAAATATTTATATTTGACCCCACCCCCATATAAATTATAGGGAATTGTATATAGAGAGACGATTTATTTATTTTTTACTTGAGATCACAATCATTCATATTCATTAGATGTCAAATTGGATGGTTAAAGTGAGTCAATAAATTCAAAAAAAAAATTTTAGAAGTTTGCGTTTATTCAATGGCATTCTTACAATTATCCATTTTGAAATTTAAAAAACAAGAATGATTGTGACCTCCATGTATAAAAAATAAATGGTGGTTTCTATAATGTTGCAACCTTAAACAATCTAATTAAGGCACACCTCCAAATTTTATCATAACATATATTTTTGGTGTAAAACTATTGCGATAATAACTGAGCATGATTCACTTTTCATTCTGTTGTATTTTGAATGAGTCTTCATTATGTTGTAATAGTTTTTCATTTTTACTGGGATCGACTAACTCGACCCTTAACTCTTCTATAAATCTATTTATACTATGCATGTATTCGTTCATGAGGTATGAATGAAAAGTTAAAAGCTTCAACAACATTTCACAGTGTATCAGAGCGATGTTTCATAGTTTTGATTCAGAAAGAGACCAAACGATATTATGAAGTTGCGACCTACTTTTTCCGGCGAGTTGTAAAAGCTCGGGGCCTTCAGATCTTCAATTTTCCGGTCACCTTTGCAACTTTTTCTAGCCAGATTTCTCTGGTGAGATCAAGCACGAGAGCCATGGCTACGAATGACCCTCAGCAGAGGTAGAGTGTGTGTAAGAGCGAGCGACTCAAACCCTATAGAGAGAGAGCTTAAAACACGAAGCCTCCCAAAAAAGGTATTTTTGCAAGAAGCCTCCCAAAAGGGGTATTTTTGCATGAAGGGAAAGAGGTGGTCCATAGGAACCATATTATATCAAAATCATGTCGACGTAAAGTGGATACAAAACTAATTCTGAAGGAAGCCATGAAGAGACGATCTCATCTTCCTCTCCTTTCTATCTTCATCACTCGAATAATCCAAAGATGACGTTGATCTCCTAACAACTCACTGGAGAAAACTATTCACTGTGGAAGAGGGCTATGCTTGCAGCCCTCAAGGCCAAACACAAGCTCGGTTTCATTGATGGAACTCTTGTTCAACCATAAGAGTATTAGCCTTCCCTCTTGGAGTAGCTGTAACACAATGGTTCTCTCATGGGTTTGGAACGTTGTTTGTAAAGACCTCACGAACAGTGTCATCTACATCAACACAATGAAGGAAGAATGAAAGGATCTACATGAGCGTTTTTCACAAGGTAATGCTACCCAAATCTATCGCATTACTCATGATATTTCCAACCACATTCAGGACCAGCTCTCTATCCTGCAATATTACACCATGCTCAAGGGGTATTATGATGAGTTGGATTCCCTAACACCTTATCCCAAGTGCTCTTGTGGTACTCTCAAAGAAGTCTATTAGTTGAGACAAAATGAGCGGGTATTTCAGTTTCTCATGGGGTTAAATGAAACCTATTCCACTGTGAGAAGTCATATTCTCACTATGGACCCATTACCATCCATAAGTAAAACCTACACTTTGATCGTGCAAGATGAAAGACAGCGTAGTGTTCAACAACATTTAACATAGTCCTTAGAAGGTGTTGTTATGGCTGCTTCTAATGTCAATGGAGGTGGTCGTGGACGTGGTACTTATAGTAGTCACTTCAAGGGTCGTGGCAACGGCAGAGGAGGACATGGACACGATAAACCATGTTGTGACCATTGTGGTTTTTTTTTGTCACATTCATGACCAATGCTGTAAGTTGCATGGCATGCAGGGAACCCGGAACAGTGCTGCTGCTACCAATTCCAGCAAGCAGACTGGCAAACTTGTCAATAATTCCACTGTTGTGCATCTTTCCCCAGACCGACACTCTCAACTCATGTCTCTGCTCACAAAAAATCATAGCTTATCTTTAGCCAACATTGCAGGTATCACACTTCATCAAGTACCAAATATCCATTGGTTCACTATGTTTCCTACGCCAATTATTTTGCTACTCATCAAGCCTTTCTTGCTTCCATATCCTCTAATCATGAACCTATAAGTTTTTCTACTACCATTAAAGATGTTCGTTGGAAGGATGCCATGACTGCTAAGATCAAAGCACTAGAAGCAAATCATACTTGGAATGTTACTCCCTTGCCACCCAAAAAGCATGCTATAGGGTCCAAGTGGGTCTACAAAATGAAGTACAATGCTGATGGAAGTATCGAGCGCTATAAAGCGCGGCTTGTAGCTAAAGGGTACAACCAAGCCGAAGGCATTGATTACAATGAGACCTTCACCCTTGTAGCCAAGCTAGTCACAGTTCGATATTTACTTGCCATTGCTGCCACAAGGGAATAGCCTTTTTTTTAGTCAGATGTTACTAATGTTTTTCTCCAAGGAGATTTAGTTGAGGAAGTATACATGCAGCTTCCCCTCGGCTTTCAATGAAATGGGAAGCATGGAGAACATCTTATATGTTGCTTAAAGAAGTCCTTATAGGGACTCAAGCAAGCGTCCCGCAACTGGTTTCCTAAGTTCTCTTCTTCACTTCTTCAAACAAGATTCAAACAATCTATGGTTGATTACACCATGTTCTCACTGGGGATGATTCTTCTACTATTACTTCCATCATGCAATTCTTACATCGCCAATTCAAACTAAAGATCTTGGTTTACTTAAGTATTTCTTGGAAATCGAAGTTGCTCTCTCAAACAACGCCATCTTCCTCTTTCAACGAAAATATACACTAGACATTTTGGAAAAAACTTGATTACTTGACGTCAAACCCGTCTCATTTCCCATGGAACAGAACCTCAAACTGAGAGCTGATGATGGAACTCTACTCTCTGATCCTGGACCTTATCGACGACTTGGTAGTCGCCTTATTTACTTAACCATCACTAGACCAGAGATTACTTTTTCGGTCAATATGTCGAGTCAATTCATACAAATGCCTCACCAATCTCATATGGATGTAGCCATGCGTGTTCTTCGGTACCTCAAATCTAGTCCAGGCAAAGGAATCTTGATGCCTTCCTCCAATACGTTGTAGCTCTCCAACTACTCCGACTCCGACTGGGCTAACTGTCCTGCTACCCGCCGCTCTATCACAGGATACTGTACCTTTCTTGGAAACAATCCTATATCTTGGCGCACAAAAAAGCAGTCCATGGTTTCTCGTTCATCTACTGAGACAGAATATCAAGCCATGGCAACAACCACCTGCAAGCTAGTTTGGCTCAAATGCGTTTTTCACAACTTAGGCATTCCTGACTCATAGCCCATGTT